GGTCTGTTCCACAGTCTGCCCCTGGCCTTGTCTTCACTGATGATATGGAGCTTTTCCATCTTCTCTTTCCACAGATGTAGTCTATCTGATTTCTATGTGTTCCATCTGGTGGGAGCCATGGTAGTGTAAAAAGCACTGCACCAGGTGGAGTGTTGGGTGAGGGTTGAAGAATCAATCATGGTTCCTTTCCAGTTGCACAGCCAGCACACAGTTCTACATTTCTGACTTGGGAGTCATCATCCTGGTTCCAACCAACATTGTACCCTGTTCTTGGATTATTTACTGGGATCCTGTTCAGGGTTGAATTTGTGCTTTTCGCCCAGTAATGGGAACAGGAAGGGCAGAGAGGAAACGTGGATATGGTGTATGTAACTACGGGCTGTACCTAAATCAGACTGTCTTAACTCGGGAACTATATCAGTAAAGTTCAATGAAAACTTTTTTTAAATAGGCTTTATTCAGACTTGTGCAAAAATAAGAGTTATAGAATCGTATCTAATTTATATATTGTACCTCTCAATGCTTTCTAGGTTGTTGATTAACTTTGTTGTTGTTAGGTGCCATTGAGTTGGTACTGACTCATAGTGACCTTATGTGCAACAGAACAAAATATTACCCAGTCCTGTGCCAACCTTACAATTGAAACCCAGCTTGAGCGCATTGGTGTTGCCATATTGCCAATCCATCTCACTGGGGGTCTTCCTTCTTTTTTCTGACCCTCCACCTTACCAAACATGATATCCTCCTCCAGTGACTGGTCCCTCCTGACAATATGTCCTAAGTATGAGAGATGAAGTTTGGCCATCCTGGCCTCCAAGGATCACTCTGGCTGTACTTCTTCCAACACAGATCTGTTTGTTCTTTTGACAGACCATAGTACTTTGAATATTCTCTTCCAACATCATAACTCAAATGCATCGATTCTTTTATGGTCTTCCTTATTCACTGTCCAGCTTTCGCATGCATATGAGGTTATTGAAAATACCATAGCTTGGGTCAGGCGCACCTTAGTCATCAAGCTGACGACTTTGCTCTTCGACACTTTAAACAGGTCTTGTGCTACAGATTTGCCTAATGCGATATGTTATTTGATTTCTTGACTGCTGCTTCCCTGAGTGTTAATGGTTGATCGAAGAAGAATGAAATCCTTGACAACTTCAATATTTTCTCCATTGATAAAAGTGTTTATTAGTCCAGTGGTGAGGATTTTTGTTTTCTTTCCATTGAGATGCAATCCATACCAAAGGCTTTGGTCTTTAGATCTTCATTAGTAAGTATTTTAAGTGCTCTTCACTTTCAGCAAGCAAGGTTGTATCATCTGCATCTCGCATGTTGTTAATGAGTCTTCCTCCAATCCTAATACCATATTTTTCATCATATAATTCAGCTCCTCAGATTATTTGCTCAGCATACAGGTTGAATAAGTATGGTGAAAGAATATAACCCAGTCGCACACCTTTCTTAATTTTAAACCATTCAGTGTTCCAATATTCTTTTTGAACAACTATCTCTTGGTCCATGTAAAGATTCTTCATGAGCACAATGAAGTGTTCCGGAATACTCATACTTCACAATGTTGTCCAAAACTTGTCATGATTTACACAATCAAAAACCTTTGCATAGTCAGTAAAGCTTAACTTTAGCTTGTCCTTTATTCTTATACTAAGGTAGTTCATACAATGTTGCGAGGTTTTGCTGAGTCAGAACTTCTGAGAGAAAAAAATTGCGTATGTTTTTAATAAACTGTTTTTTCTTTTGTAGCTCTGGTATTATGGAGAAAATTTATTTATGCTACATGGAAAATTTCTAACTGTGATTCCATACAAGTGTGAAGTATCATCGTTAGCGGGGGCACTTGGAAAACTCAAGCATAGTCAGGATCCAGGTGGGATCTTACTTACTTGTTTGTTTTATTGAAACAAAGCATTTTATTTGTTTTGGGGTTGATAAGAAGAGATTCCCACTCCGTTTACAGAGCCTGTTCTTGATTTGAAAATTGTCCAATGTTCACGGAACCTTTCTTAACCCTGGAAGCTACTTCAGGAGCAGTCCCCAATGCAAATAATGCTGCCAACTGAGAAGCTACACTGTGTTTTGAATAGCCAGTGTTCTGACTTGAGGGGCAATGAGGGAATCCCCAAGGCAAGATCAGTTAATGCTGCCTCTGCCTTCCTAGATTTGCCAACAGCCCCATTGGTTGTTGGGCATAATTGTGATCTGTTGACCTGAGGTGGTCAGTTCGAAATATGTGGACTTGAACGCTTCTCTTGAACTGTGCATATGAGTGGGGGTGGGTTGTGGGGGGCTTATCCTTCAGTAGATACAAAAATTACAGAAATAGTGCGTTTTGTATTCTCATAGACACTCATGCTGTACCCCATTTTGTAAACTGGGAAACACCTCAGGAGTATGAACTTGAATCATGGAACTCAGAGACGTCAAAGAGAATTGTAAGTGTAAATGCCAAAATAGAACTGTTGGTACCAATATGTTGAAAGTCAGGAAAGTGCGAGATTCTTGTAGTGGTTTTCATATGTAAAACTCTTCCACCTTTGCTCTTGGTGACAGAGGAATTTGAAGCTTAAATCCAGTGAACTCTGGCTTTGTCTAAAAATGACACCCAGAATCTGCGGTTCATTCTAAACCAGGCGTGGCCTAGCTGCATAAATGAACCAAGATGCAGTTAGCAGTAATATTTTTCCGAATACAAAGGTTTTCATTTGTGCCTAAAAGTAAAATAACTAAATTTCTTAAGGTATTTAAATTGAAAGTTGAAATCAGCTCACTTTTCACTTTTACAAATATTACTACTGAAAATAGCTTATGGTTAGAGCAAAAGTATGCTGGTCTCTTTGAGGTGTTTCATTTTATGTTCTTATAAATGAATAATTGATCTTTTGTATTGTTTTGAGATTATAATCAATTTACTTCCTTTCAGTTAAGGACAAGAAACATTGAAATGAATTTACAGCCAGCAATTTCAGCATCCAAACAACTTTTATTAGCCATAAAGGTAAATAAATATTAGATATAGGAAAAATCAACCCAAAAAGTTAAAAGAAATTCCATAGACTTTTCATTCTATCTTGTTTTTAACGATGATTTCCGTAACATTTGTACAGTACCTGAGAGTTGCCAAGGGCCCTAGAGGTGCAGTGGGTTAAGTGCTGGGCTGCTAAACACACTGTCTGTGGTCCAAACCCAGCAGCCACTCTGAGAAAGATTTACAGGAAATCTCCTGTAACGGTTTACAGCTTTGGAAGCCCAGGGAGTAGTTGTGCTCTGCCCTGTAGGCTTGCTATGAGCCAGAACCAGCTGGACAGCAATGTGTTTTTGAGGTTGCAGTTGGCCCAATACTTCGACTGCTTTAACTCAGCAGTCTTGTAAGATCAATGCATGATGGTGACCTCATCGCCCTCTCATTCAGCTGCATCAAACGTGTTTGTTAAACAAAGTCTCCTCAAGACTGAGGTTGTTTTCCTTTTTAATGTTTTTTTTGTTGTTTTCCTTCCAGTTTGTTTTTGTGGAGCAAAATGTACTATCAACTGCAGTTGTTGTTGTTGTTAAGTGCTGTCGAGTCGGTTCCGACCCATAGCAACCCTGTACAGGGTTTCTGAGGGTGTAAATCTTTACGGGAGTAGAAAGCCTCATCTTTCTCCCGCAGAGCGGCTGGGAGTTTCAAACTGCTGACCTTAAGGTTCGCAGCCCGATTCGTAACCACTACGCTACCAGTGCAGTAAGCACGCATAAATGCTGGTAGTAGTTTGAGAAGTGTTTTAGGAGTTTAAAAATTCAGTGACATTTATTAATGTACCAGACTGAACTCTTAATTCTGTCCCTTTAGAATGATACCGAAAAACACATTGAAGTAGAACTCCGTAAATTTTTGGCTATTAAACAGACACCTGACTTTCATACTATTATTGGGGACATTATAACAGGACTTCTGGGAAGATGTAAGGCTGAACCATCATTTTATCCCCGGAATTGTCTGATGCAACTTATCCAAACACACGTGCTTTCCTACAGGTAGTGTACCAAACTTGCAGAACACCTATTTTACAGTTCTAATTTTCATTCTCTGAAAAAGCTCATAAATTGTCTGCAGTTGAGATTGTTTTTGATGTGTTAAACTGATAGAGAATTTTCTTTGTCTTAGCTTATGTCCTGACTTAATGGGAGTCGCCTTAGAAAAGACAGATGTGCAGCTTCTACAACTCTGTCTCCAGCAGTTCCCTGATATTCCTGAATCTATCACCTGCACCTGCTTACAGCTTTTTTTAAGGTATGTTGGAAGCTGATGGTCCTTTTCCTTCACTACATTTTCCATGTACTGCCTTGTGTGATTTCTGAAACTTTGAGTGCTTACAAAGTGGTACTGTTTACACTGAGTTCCAGATGTGATAAGAATTTCTTTCAATTCACATCCTAGCATTGATGATAACAGTCTTCATGAAGCAGATATCAACACGGAATCGGTTTTTGACTATAGCAGTACTATACAAGATGAGAAAATGGAAGAAGCAACTGAAATTATTGAAAATGGCTTCAAGCCTGAAGAAGATAACTACAGTAACTGTGGCAAAGAGTTAAAAGAAAAGCCTCTAAAAACAACTGAGGAGACCACCTCGAGCCCTGTCACGCCAAAAAGGGCAGCTCTGCTGTATCCTTTGAAACCAGGAGTTTTCTGTACACTGGCTCTTGCTGTGAACAGAGTCAAATGCCAGAAAGGAACTAAGAAGGGGTCATTAGATAATTTGAGGGTTTGGTTTTGTTTTTCAATCGTCCTCTTTTCAATTTTTTTTCTTTTCAATTTTCTGCTTGAATATGGTTTATATTCAATGCTGCATTCATATAATGTACTCAAATCTGTTTCATAATTAAGAAGCTACACTAAGGCAGAAGCACTGTCTGAAAAGGAATGTTCGAAATAAATACCAGTGATTGATACAAGAAAGGTATTCCGGATCATCTCGTGATTCGGAGGGTGTTGAACAATAGGCGTTCTTCTAGATGAAGAAATCCTTTTCTAGATTTAGAAAAGTCTCGATGGTCATACCGTTCTAGTAGCATGGCCTTTATTTCTTGAGAGGTGGTTTTCCTTTAGTCCTAGGTAGAAATGCAGTTCTTCACTCGGCGTACAGTGAAGCCTTCCTTGTACCACACCTGAAGGACATCCCAGCGCAACACACCACCGTGAGTGCTCTCCCAGACCCCTTGTTTCTCATCTGGGATTCCATGCCTGACTCTAGCCAACTGCCAAGGCCTTTTCAAGGTCATCTGAGTCCTTCCCCAGAAAGAAAAGACTACTTAGCCCTCAGGGTAAAAAATTGCAATTGTGCCTAGGAGAGGTGACAGGCCCAGGCACATTTCTCATGCCAATCCTAAAGGCCAAGGCAAGCCCGTCTGAGTCCTAAATGAGTAAACAAGAAGGAAGGATTCTCTCTTGTCTGCCTATTGATATTGTTGTTGGGTACTGTCAAGTCGGTTCTGATTGCTAACAGCCCTGTATAGAGTTTCCAAGAGTGGGTCCCACAGCTCCATGCAGGGAGCCAGATAAACTCCCAAGCAGGCGAGCTCCTCTGTAGTGTCAGGTGCTGCACTGTACTGGATTGCATAGATCATGTTTCCCCAGATACCTGCCTGGCACCTGTGTTCAACACATAGTTAAATGGAACCGTCTCTGTTCACTTTATAAAAAGAGACTTTTTTTTTTTTTTAATGAAAGTGATAAATTGCCTTTTCTCCTACACAGCTGTTTCTCCGGTATCTGCACTTCCTCTACCTGAAGTGTAGTGCGAATGCACCAATGACTCTTCCAGGAGTACATCCTCCAACCCTGAACCAGGTAAGAGGATGGGGACCTGCACTTGGAGCTCCTGCTGGGAAAGCCATTTAGAGGGTGGTGTGGTGTTGAACCTGGAGTTTCAGTAACTGGAATCTGTCTGTGTGTTCCCTAGTCCAGATGGCTGTCCTCCCTCGCCGTACACTCAGACCACTGGGCTGGGAGCTAGAAGGCATCTCTCTTTGGTAGATAGTGTTTTGAAACTATATAGGACTTAGAGTCATCTAAATTTCTGATTTAATTGTGTCGAACATTTAATTTGACTGTTTCCCATTTTTAAATTCAAGTGTTAAAAATATTATGAGTCTATTTTTATAGTTGACTGTTGCACAAATAGCAGACGTACAGAGAAAAAGTAAGCTTCGTGCCCTCCGCTCTGCAGTCCTTAGAGCCATCACCTGGCTCAGTGCCAGTTTATGTCTAGGATTTTTCTTTCTGTACACAAACTTATGTTGTTCATCTCTGTTCCTCTTTCTGACACAACTGAGATAGTATATACACTAGCTACAACTTGATAGTGTTTTGGGGTTTTTTTCTCACTCAACTATGATTTGAATAAATTTTGGACTGGTACACATACATCTGTGTAGTTCCTTTTAACCAATGTATACAATTTCATTTTATGTGTTTATCTTCACTGGTAAGTCCCCTCTGTGTAATAGTTAAGTTGGTGCCACTGTTTTGCTATTGTAAACCAGGCTTTGTACCATTCACGTTGTCCATACACGAGAACTTCTGCTAAGTGAATTCCCAGAAGTGAAATGACTAGATCAGAGGGGCATGCAGTGTGAGTTTTGCAGATTGTCTGTCAGGAGGGTTGTGACCTTAGACACTACTATCACCAGGGGCATGGGCTTGTGTCTGTCTTTCCTTCCTTACACCTGCTGTAGACATACTTCAGGGATATTGTGGGCTCGATTCCAGACCACCACAATAAAGCTAATACACAGTAATAGGACTGACATGGATTTTTTTTTTTTTTTTGGTTTCTCAGTGCATATAAAAGTTACTTTTATACTTCACTGTGTCTGTAGTATGCAATAGCATTATGAAAAAGTTTGAAGTACTATGTGAATTACCAAAATGTGACAGAGAGACATAAATGAGCACATGCTACTGGGAAAATGGTGCCAGTAAACTTGCTTGACACCACATTGCCACAAACCTTCCTCTTTTATTTTTTTTTTTTAAAAAAAAAAACAGCTAATGCTCTGTAAAGCTCAAGAAGCGAAGTGCAATGTAATGCGATAAGGCCTTGTTAGGACCCAGGTACCTTAGTTTCATTTGTACCTTTAACTAGTGAAAGAAGTCAAGTGGACCATTTTTTCTTAGCCATTTGTATTTCTTTTGTGAACTGCCAATTTTTCTGTTGTGTTTCTTATCTCGTTTTTTTTCTTATTCTGACTTATAAAGAGTTCTTTGTGTATTGATCTTTTTCTATTATACATTACAAATACTTTTCCTTTGCCATTTGTCTTTTTACTCTGTTTATTGTCAAAGACAAGTTCATCATTTTTCTGCTATCAAAACTTACAAAGCTTTTCCTTTATGGCTACTTTTGGCTTATGTTCTGTGTAAGGCCCTCCCATTCTAAGTTGGTAAAAAGAGTCAACCTAGTTTTCTTTGGAGTCCTGTTGTAGCACTGTAGGATAAGCACTGGGCCACAAGGTCCGTTTGAACTGTGAGAACAGTGGTTCAAACCCACCAGCTGCTCCTCAGAAACCCTATACAGCGTTGTTAAGAGTCAGAATCAACTCGACAGCACTTAACAACACCAAGCAACAAGTTTTCTTTGGTACACTGAAGGTTTTTCTTTGTGTGTTTTACTCTGTGATACATACAGAATTGATTTTAGAGTAAGTTTTATTGGGATTCATTGTGTTTTTCATGACAGTGATATTTATGTATTAAACTTGCACCAGTTGAAGATGGAAACTTGCATGGAATGCTTTTATGAATAATAACTTGATTTTCGTTTCCGGAAGCTCATGCACAATTCACAACACACTATTCTTGGAGCACGCTGTTTGGATCCTTGAAAATAAAGGATGGGCACATTCTTTTTTCACTATTATTGCTGTTAAGTGCTGTGGAGTCGGTTCTAGCTCATAGTGACCCTGTATAGGGTTTCCAGAGAATGACTGGTTAGTTTGAACTGCAGACCTTATGGTTCAAACTGACCCTGTGGTCCAGTGCTTATCCTACGATGCCACACCAACTGCAAATAATTCCCAAAAGCCATTGCTTAAAAAAGAAAATACAAGTAAGTACTTGCTCTCCTTTGGATTGAAGACCACCTTGACTTTCTTATTACTGATGAATCCTACGAAAAGGGTCCAGTTAAATGCTCGTCAAATAAGTAGAAAAACAGAAAAGACCCTTTTTATGTTACTTAAACATGCCTCCCATCTCTAAGATGTTCAGACTTTTATTAGGAAAAAATATATAGTTGTTATTGTTGGGTATGATAAAGGACTTAGTAAAGTGAATACCCTAGCATTAAATTTTAAATCTTAACTTTCTTTTCCTATTTTTCTTCAGATTATGGATTGGATATGCCTACTTCTGGATGCGAATTTCACTGTTGTGGTAATGATACCAGAAGCAAAGCGACTACTGATAAGTCTTTACAAGTTTGTGAAAGCCCAGGTATGTGATTGTTTGATATTCTGTGTTCTGTGTGTGCACCCAAGCATATCACCTGTATTACAATTTGGTGTTAACTTTTGTTCTTAAACCAGTTTGCAGTAATCATGGAGAATTGATTTCTATGGAAAACTTACATTAAAGGTTAATTCTGACAACTGTTTTTCTTCAGATAAGCGTTTATTCTGAGCTTAACAAGATCGAAGTAAGTTTTCGGGAGCTACAGAAATTAAACCAAGAGAAGAATAACACAGAATTATACTCAATTGAAGTGCTGGAACTCATCTGAGTCCTCCTGCATAGATGGTTATGAAGCCCTTTTGTGTGACTGCTACCTACTCCTTCAGGCCAGAGAGCTGTTCTCTTTGTGGCTGGTTCTCGATGTCAAGAACATGTCCATGACTACCTGGAACTGATGCTCACTAGGTAGGATTGCCGATTTCTCAAGAACCTGCTTTGTTCGTGGATGTCATTAGGACAAATTCTGGAACTTTTTTTTACGTATGTAACTGAGCTGATTTTAAGTAAACTTATTTGTATATTGATAAAAGTCTAATTTCTTATCATACATTTTGAGTAATTCTTTTAATAAAATATCACCAGTGAAGCTGTGATTCTAGAAAGAAAGTGGTTTTATCAGCGTAAGAAGCTGCCCTGTCATCAGTCTTCAGGGCTGAAGAGGCCAAGTCCCTTTGTGCGGGGAGCACTGATCTGCCCTCTCTCCTGTCTGTCACCTGTTTCCACTCACCACTTGGGCTCCTGGTATGGTGCTGGAGGATAAGCACTGGACTGCAAACCACCAGGTTGGTTGTTCAAACCCACCAAGCCGCTCCTTGGAAACCCTGTTCCGAGTCGCTGTGAGTTGGAATCCACCAAACTACATGTAACAACCGCTCACCTCTTAAGTACCCAGAGGTTAACCATTTTTCTCTTTGTCTTCCTGTACAGCAGTGGGTCACACAGTCTAGGGGGAGTGTGTTCCAGGCCTCACAAGATGTCCGTTTGTGACAGGAAACAACCTCACCACTTTCTCTCACTCATTTTAGTGGAAAATACCTGAGTTTTCCTGCCCTAATGGGTTCTGGCAGGTTTTACTGTATTTAAAAATATTTTTAAAAAAAAAGATAATTTTACAGAAGGATGGACCAGACATTTCCGTTTTAACTGTTTGGGTTTAGGACAAATTAAAAAGGTTTTGTATAAAAGAAATGAATGTTTTTGGTTTCTTGAAGATAAGCTGATTCTTTTGTTAAATGTGAACTTACTCTTAGAGGGTAATTAAGTTTTAAGTTGTGTTTAATTTCCCAAAGTAACGTGAAACCCTTCTGAGCTATGAATGGAAGTCGTTCTTGAGGTATTTTTGTTGTTGAGCTCGTGGATCCAGTCAGTTCAGTATCGGGTTTCTGATGAGCAGCTGGTGGGTTTGAATCACTGACCTTGCAGTTAGCAGTCAGGTGTTTTATCTTGCAGCGTCACGCCAGGACCCAATCATTATAAAACTTGTTTTGAAATTAAGCATTACAGTAATTTTTTTTTTTAAGTCCTGTAAATTCTAGTACTTACTAGAATTTATAAGTTCAGATGTGATTCTAGAGTCCAAATGTACAGAATCCGGATTGCTCAGTTAAACTTGTTTTCGTGAAGAGCTTATCTTAGGTCACTGTGGAAACTATATTCTGCTGTGGCATCTCACAGACAGGTTCTCCTCAGTCGGTCTTTCTCTGTCTGTAGAACTGAAAGAAGAGAAACTTCAAAGACAGTATACTAATTGTCACACTTCATCTAATGGGACCTATTGCTCAGCCACTTTGAACTACAAGCCCGTACCTCTCAGCAGAACTGAAAAGTGTAGGTCTCCACACTGTATCATCTATCCCCTTTCCCTCTTTTTTGCTGTTGAACCATTTAAGAATACTTGCAGACTTCAGACATAAAATTGTGGGTGTGGCACTTTAGAATAAGCACTGGATTGCTAGCCACAGGACAGCTGTTCAAACCCACCAGCTGCTTCTCGGACACCCTAAACGGTGTTGCCGTGAGTTACCACTTAACAACAATCCTGAACTAAAGGGGAAGAGAATCTTCATGATTTAGAGAGCCATTTGATCCATCCCTTTGGTGGTGGTGTCTCCGGATTTCATTGTACTTAGAGATGGCGGCTTCTGCAAAGAACACTGGCCTGGTCAGGAGCCAAACGAGGCCTTTGGGGTTGAAGAGATAAGCTGGAGCCTTCCCGTGCCGTGGCCATTTTGTCTATTTGAATAAACCTTCTATGTAGGGTTCTTGTCAAGTCTTTGTTGTAAAAGTAAGTAGTTTGGGTTGTGGAAGCATACCTATTGAATCTAACAATTTTCTAGAATGTGTTCACATGCTTGATACATTGTGGCTAATGTACAGAAGGAGGGTGTAAAACCATCACAAATCTCATGTTTTAATTAAGCTGGACATTGTAACTGTCATTAAATACTAGTTGTGTATCATTTCTTGGTTGTCTACAGTCGACGTTACGAAACGTGAAAAGGATTTTATAGGGGTATACAGAGGCTCTTTTCGGCGGATCCTTCAAGGCACAGGCCGGCTCTTTTCTGTGCTCTAAGCACAGCACCACTGGCACGTAACAGGCCTTCAGCAGCACAGTTACTGAGTAATGGATTTTATGTGTCCTACGGTAGAGTAAAAATTCTTAGGATTTGCAGTAGTTCCTTTTTCCAAGAACCAGTGTTGTCATCTTTGTTTAGGAAATATAAACAGTGTAGTTTTCTACCTCTAGGCTTTTCTCTTTCTCTTTTGTTAATTGTGGTAAATGTATGTGTAACAAAACATTTGGCATTTTGATAGTCTTCACCTCAATGGCATTAGTTACAGGCTTCATGTTGTTCAATCATCACCCTTATCCATTCTCAAATTTTCCCATAGATAGCTTTTTATTTTTTATAGCTCTAACCTAGCTCAGATTTGTTTCTGATCACATACACCTGGTGTGGTGCTGCAGGCTAAGCATACAGATTGAGTAAGTATGGTGCAAGGATACAAGCCTGACACCTTTCCTGATTTTAAACCACTCAGTAGTCCCTTGTTCTAGTTTAACAACTGCCCCTTGATCTATGGACAGGTTCCTTGTGAGCACAAATGTTCAGGAATACCCTTTCTTCACAGTGTTGTCCATAGCTTTTTTCATGATTCATAGTCCAAAGCCTTTGTGTTGTCAATAAAGCACAAGTAAGCATCATTTTTGTATTCTCTGCTTTCAACCAAGATTCATCTGGCGTCAGCAATGATATCCCTAGTTTCCATGTCCTCCTCTGAATCTGACTTGAAGTTCAGGGATTTCTCTGTTGGTATACTATTGCATCAGTTTTGAATTCTCTTCAGCAAAATTATGCTTGAATTTGATATTAATGATACTGTCCAGTGATTTCCACATTCTGCTAGGTCACCTCACAGGAATGGGTACAAGTACAGGTTTCTTCCAGTCAATTGGCCAGGTAGCTGTCTTCCAAATTTCTTAATGTAGATGAGTAAGTGCCTCCAGTGCTGCATCAGATTGTTGAACATTTTCAATTCGTATTCCATGAATTCCTGGAGCCGTGTTTTTCACCAGTGCCTTCAGTGCAGCTTGGACTTCTTCCTTCAGTACCATCAGTTCTTGATCATAGGCTACCTCTTGAAATGGTTGAACATTGACCAGTTCTTTTTGGTACAGTGCTTCTGAACCACTTCATTTTGTAATGGATAAAAGTACTGGGTTTTTTTGTTTTTGTTTTAGTTCTAACTCCTGGTGACAATTTCACCACCACCACCCACTAGTCCAGGCCATCTTTCCTGCAACTGAGTTACTTCAAAATCCCCCCTCCTGACCCCTACAATTCACTGCCATCATAGCTGCTGGAGTGATCTGTTACAAATCAGAAAACTCATGCCAGTCTCAGTGAAACCTAAAGGCCCAACCAACTCCACATCTTTGTCCCACCCAGAGAGACCACTCGGGCTTGTTCCTGTAGCTTCCTGAAGGCCTTCCCTTGGCTTCTTGGGGTTTATGCTCAAAGATCACCTCAGTGAAGCCTCTCCTGACTCCCTATCTGAAATTCCAAGTCCCCACATTGACACTCTTAACAACATTCTCTCATTAACTGCCCTGCTTTGCAAACTGCTCATCAGCCAACCCAGTCTTCATGGGGACAGAGGACCTTTGCCTGGCTTGTTCTCTGCAGGAGCCCTAGTACCTGGGGCATCACAGATGCTCCAGAACTGCTACCTGAAGTATCCACAGGAAGAAAAGAGAAGACGCTAGGCAGCGTTCATACCAGCCACTGACTTCCAGCCTTGCCACTGGGCACACCCATGCTGCTAAAGGTGCGTTTCCACTGGGGACTTGGTTTTTGCTTCCTCCTAAGCTTATCAAGGAGTGCTGGTAGTATTCTAGGATAAGCACTGGACTTCTCCACAGTTCAAGCCCGTGGGAGACAAAACGAAGCTGTCTGCTCCTGTAAAGATTGACAACCTCGGAAACCCTGTACAGGGTCGCTGTGAGTCAGAGCCATGGCGTTGAGAGCTGGAAGCTTCTATCAGGTTGCCCTGGTGGCACAGTGTTAGGTCACCTGCTCTGAAGGGGAGAGAGGCATTTTGATTTACGGTCTCTGAAACTTACACTCTACCCTTTAAATTCACAATGAGTTGGAATCAACTCAGTGGCCATGAAGTTTTGGTTTTCAAGCCTCTCTCCTGTCTCATCTAACTGAGCTCCTTGTGCTATGTTATCCATGGTTGAAAGTAACAGTGTCAAAGCTGGCCCCTAGAGGCAGGGGAGGGAGCCCAGTCACTGCCGACCAAAAAAACCAAGGTGGATCTGCATGGGGAGGTGTTAGATTTGGTTTTAGCACTCCTCCCTTTGTGCTAGCGATTAGGATAACCACTGCTGTGTCCTCAGAAAAGATTTGTGAACATCCCAACCTCCAGTACATCTGAATGTGCTCGAGTTGGGATGAGGTCATGCTGGCAGATACTCACCACTGTGACTGGTGTGCTTGCAAGAAGGAAAGAGACACACGGGAGCAAGTGGGTGACTTCAGAAGCAGAAATGAGAGTAATGCTTCTCCAAGCCAAAGAGCAGCAAGAGACACTAAGATAGCGTGAAATAGATGCTCCCTCCAAACCTTCAGAGAGCAAGCAGGGTTCTCCACCTTGATTCCAGAAAATACAGTTCTGTGCTACTGAGCCACCCAGCTTGTGGTCCTTGATTAAGGCAGTCCTGGGTGGCACAAATGGCAGTGTCAGGTACTAACCACAAGG